ACCTGGAGGAATTCTTCTGGAGAAACCGCAGGGCCTGAGGGGGGGAAAGAGGCTCAGCCAGGAGGTCTTGGGAAGGACCCCAGGGGCAGAGGCCTCCAGAACCCTGTAGCCGTCCACCACGCCTACGCTATCTTTATGACCTGCATCTATGTGGACAGCCACGCATGGCACCTCCATGGCATCTGTGGTCTCCAAGCACATTCCAGGTCAGGTTTCTGAACCTGCTCAAGGTTGCTAAGCCAACTCAAGCCCCAGGTTAGGGCCACAGGAGTAAAAGTCTCAATCAAAAGGCTCAGCAGGCTACTCTACGGATGCCCCCTGGCCCAGGCATTGGCCTAGCAGACTCAAGGAGTTTTCCCGATATCAACTGGTGGACAGGGGCCTCTTGCTCAGGTGCCCTCTCTTCCCTGAGTCCTTTGCACTTCCTTGGGTGCCGAACAAACCTGGGACTTCCAGGAGTCGTTACCTAGAGTAGATAGGATGTGGCAGGGACACTGTGGAAGAGATTCCTGTCTGACCAGGGGCCTCTCCTGGACACTTCGGGGCTGCTCCCCAATTAACTGACCTGCCCATCAAGTCAGAACAGTCATAAGAGGCCCTGTGGGCTTTGACTGATTTAGAGGGGCATCTGAGGACCTGGGCCTAGAGCAAGCCCTCAGAAGGGACCATCTGGGCATGATCAGGTGGAGGACACTGATTCCACAGTGAGAAAGACTTGGGTTCAAATTCTAACTCTAGCCAGGTGTTGTAGTGTATGCCTCTAATCCCAGCCACTGGGGAGGCTGAGGCAGGGGGACTACAAGATTGACGTCAGCCTGGGCAACTTAGCAAGAACCTTCTCAAAAAACCATCTGCCTCTGTCATCTCCAAACACTTGCATCTCCTCCTGCCTCAGATTCCTGAGTGTGAAATGGGAATAAGGATCCTTCCAGTTTGGAAGGCTGAGGCAGGAGGATCAGTTCAAGGTCAGCCTCAGCAACACAACAAGACCCTCTGTCATTCAGTTAGAACCTGTTTAACAAAAGGAAAAAAAAAAAAAAAAAGATGGGAGGTAATTCAGTGCTAGAGAGAGGCCCCGGGGCAAAGTCCCGGGACAAAAAAAAAAAAAAAAAAAAAGAGAGCGAGAGAGACTCCTTTCCCTGTGGCACAGGGCGGAGGGGAGGTGCACTAGGTAAGACTTGCACATACCAGGCCCTCATGTGGGTTCTGCTGCACTCACTCAGAGGCCAAAGACACTTGGTCCCCAGTTATCCTTTCCCTGGGGTTCCTGCCTCTGCTTAGGATGCCCCCTCCTGGCAAGTTCCTCCTTGTCTTTTAGGTGCCTATTCTGTGCCCCACGCCCTAGTTCAGCCTGATGCTTCCTCTGCCCCTGGCCTGGAACCACCTGTCCTTGCAGGTCTTTAGCAGCAGGAACTCTGACTAATCAGTCCCAGTGCCCCCAGTGCTTGTTAAACAGCAGATGCTTGATTAGTGATGTCTGGGGAAACAGCAAGGGGAAGGAAATTCACCTGTGGGCAAAACCAGACCCCCCTACTGAAAAGCAGGGTGAGGCAGAGCAATCCAACAGAGAGCAGCTCTTCCTCAAAGGAAGCAACCAGGTCAGAAGCGTCCAGAGAGGCCCAGGGGATTGCCTGATCCAGTCCCTTGAGCTTACATGCGGACTGGGCTATTTCTTCAGGACCCCTTCTACTGGGGTGCAGTGGGCTGTATCCTAGCCTCCTGACCTCTGCCTCTGCAGCACTCTCTACCACACAGACCCCTCACCACGCTTGGCTGGGCACCCACTCCAGCATGGGGGCCTCACAGGTACACAGCGACTCCTGCCTGCCCTGCTGGATTGGGCCCTATGAAGGGGTTCCCATCAACACCAACCTCTAGGTGTCCTGAAATCACCCTGCAATCAGGAAAGAGATAGTTGGCCACCTCACACACAGGACTCTCTATGCCCAATGACTTGCAGTGCTTCTGGGCTTCCAGACAGGCAAAGTCGAACTTGGACCGAGGCTGGCCGAGGACAGATAACATCCCACTGGGAACAGCTTCTGAAGCTTCCTGCATGGCCTCAGCTCGAACCTTCACTGCATACAGACCTACCCAGAAAGAGATGCATTTGGAAAAATCAAAACACACAATGAAGGAGGGAGGCCCAGACAGATGTTGACACTGATGTTTATTACAGCCCACAGGGCCGCAGTTCTACCTGTTTGTGTCTGTATGCAGAGGGATTACTTCTGCTGTCCAAAGCAAGGGGTCCTCCTTGGCACTACGTGGCAGCCTGAGGGGCCTCCTACCTGGAAACCTGGGTGGTGGAGGACAGGGATTCTCAACCAGGGTGATTCTACCTCAGGCAGGGTCAGGAGACACTTTCTGCTTGTCACAGCTTGGGGAGAGTCTACTGACAGGTGACAGGTACAGGCCAGGAGAGACCATCCTACCGGGCGAAGGACAGGGCCCCTCAAACAAGGAATTGTCTGGTCCCTGATGTCAACATCTCAGCAATGTTGAGCAGCCCAGTAAGGACAGAGAGCAAATGGTAGCTGCACTGCCCAGAACCTCTGACTGGTTGAAATTTCTGGTTAGTAAGATGAGGACCATAACACCCCATCTGCCTGGGTTGTTGTGAAGACTAGGAATTTCTATTATTGTTTAAGAGAAATCATATTGAAAAAAACAAAACAATCAAGAACCAACAGATACATGGGCTACTGTACAAGCATAAACAAGTAAATGAATTTCAATAAAACATGAATAAAAATGTTGAGAGAACAGGGCTCTGCCCCCACTGGCAGGGCCAGTGACTGTGATGTGAGAATGGCTGTGACTACAGTCACCCCTGCAGGTCCTAGGTCTACTTCCTGGGAAGGGAAGGGCAGACTACATCTAAAAGAGATGAAAGAACCCACCCAGGCTTGCCGGGCAACGGAGGTCCCCAAGGTCAAGTCCACAAGCTTTCTCTGTGATATGCCTCATGTACTCAGCGCTTAAGACACGTGTATGGGGTTTAGTCCCTCATCCCAGAAACTGTGCAGCACATATATTACTAAAAGCCTGTGGTAGAGCTGGACATGGTAGCATACGCCTGTCATTCCAGCAACTCTGGAGGCTGAGGCAGGAAGATTGCAAGTTCCAGGCCAGCCTCAGCAACTTAGCAAGATTGCCTCAAAATAAAAAACAATTGAAATTGTGGTCACAGATGATAATCCAACTGCAGCAGGAGGATCACAGGTCCAAGCCCAGCCTGGGTAATTTAGCAGGACCCTGTCTCAAAATAAAGGACAAAAAGGGCTACGGTAGAGTACCCTGGGTTCAATCCCCAGTATGGGGTGGGGGATCCCACCACACTCCATTCCCCTTTCTTCCTCTCTCCACCCCTGGTCACCTGTAATCTGCTGTCTCTAAGGATTGGATTCATGCAGTCTGAACATTTATTTTTTTCTAGTTTCGATTTTTGCAGTGCTGGAGATGGAACCCAGAGCCTTACAGGTGCTCTTCCCCTGAGCCCCTTCCCTAGCTCCTGGATGTTTCTTATAAAAGGCACCATCCCCTAGGTCTGATTCTCTCACCTAGGATGTTTCTAAGGTTCAGCCATGCTGCAGCACATACCAGGACTCTATTCCTTTTTATTAAAAAAAAAAAAAAAAAAATTGGTCGGGGGGCACTAGGGGTTAAACACAGGGGCACTTAACCACTGAGCCACATCCCCAGTCCAGTCCTTTTTATTTTTTAATTTAAGACAGGGTCTCGCTAAGTTGCTGAGCCTGGCCTTGAACTTGGGATACTCCTGCCTCAGCCTCCCAAACTGCTGGGATTATAGGCATGCACCACCACATCCAGCTCTTTATTCCTTTTTTTTTTTTTTAATGTTTATTTTTCCATTTTCGGCGGACACAACATCTTTGTTTGTATGTGGTACTGAGGATCGAACCCAGCACCGCGCGCATGCCAGGCAAGCGCGCTACCGCTTGAGCCACATCCCCAGCCTTCTTTATTCCTTTTTATGACTGAAAAATATTCTCCCATCTGGCGAATCAATTTGTTTATCCACATTCATCTGATCAACCTACCTTTTGGCTATTGTAAATAATGCTGCTATAAAAATCTGTGTACAAGTTTTTCTGTGTGGACATGTTCTAATTTCTTAGGTGTATATCTATGAGCAGAATTGTTGGGTCACATGTTTGTCAAAACTGTTTTCCACAGTAGTTGAACTATTTTATATTTCTACCAGCTATGTATGAGGGTTCCTATTTTTCTACATTGTTCTCAATGCTTATTTTCTTTCCTCCTCCTCCTCTTCTTTTTTTTTATCTAAAACTGTCCTAGTGGGTATAAAATACTCTTTCTCTTCTTGTGGTGCTGGGGATGGAATCCATGTCTTCACAAATGCTAGACAAGTGCTCTACCACGAAACTACATCTCCAGTCCTTTCATTTTTATTATTTGAGACAGGGTCTCGTTAATTTGCTAAGGCTGGCCTTGAACTTGCCATTCTCCTATCTAGCCTCCCAAGTCACTGGGATTATAGGTATGCACCACCATACCTGGGTATGAAGTACTATTTCATTGTGGTACTGATCTGTATTTCCGTGATATTTAGTAATGTTGAATATCTTTTCGTGGTTTTTTTTTTTTGTGTGTGTGTGCCATTTGTGTGTCTTCTCTAAAGAAATGTCAAGTCTTTTCCCTATTTGACCATAAGCAAAAATCTCTCTATCATGGGGTCTCACTATGTTGCCTGGGCCTGCTTCAAAATCCTGGGCTCAAGCGATCCTCCTGCCTCAGTCTTCCAAGTCGTTGAGATCACAGGCTGGCTACCATGCCCAGCGAGGATCTGATATTAATTTATTCCATTTATTTAATGAAGATCTACTGAGCATCTACCAGGAGTGACAGGCATGGGCATGTGTGAATGGCCTACAAAGGTACAAGATAGGGGGGAAAGACAGCAGAGCATGCAGATTTCATGAGATTACAAAACAGAAAGGAAATCCCTACTGAGTCCTTCAGGCTTCAAAGGGAATCGTGGTGAAATAGGGTCCTTGAGATCCAATGTCACCCCATTCCTGGGTTCCCTTCCCTATCACTCCTGAGTAAGTTTAGTGTCATTTCTGACAGTGTCCCTTATCCTAGTGAGTCCAGCAATATCATCTCCCCACACATGCAAAGCTAAGCCCCTGTCTGTGTACCTTCAGAAAATTCCATGGCTCCAGCAAACACTAGGGCTGCAAATTCTCCTACACTGAATCCAGCAGCAGCAATACAATTTTCAATAACCTGCAGTGAGAGATGCAAAAAATGAGGTCAAATTCTCTGGGAGAGCTTAGTTCAAGGGCTCTGCACCTGAGGGATGAGAGTATTTAGCATCATCATAACCCAAGTTCTGCTGGCGTGGTGCTCTACCTAGAAGATGGTCAACAGGTGGCCCTGACATTCACTGCGTCCAGCCTTTTACTGATGAGGAAATTTCCTGGTAAGGCAGGCTAAAGCCTAGTCATGTCTGGTAACATACAGCCCAACCCAAGGCTCTGGATTTTCTTGTTCCAGCCTGAAGCAGCCTCCCAGGCCACAAGGTATGTAAAAGTTAAGTGCAGAAGTTAAAGGCAAGAATTTGGAGTCACAGAGACTGCATTTCTTAGCTTGGGAGAGCTCCCCTATCTCTCTTGAGCCCCCTCTGTGAAATGGGGGCAAGAAAGACCTTCCTCATGTCACTGCCGAGGGAATTTCGTGAAGATGTTGTCTATAAAGAGCTCAGCACAGAGCTGGACCTCAGTAAGCACTGAGTACATGTTATTATCAAGACTCAAGAGGCCAGCTTAACTAATCTATGTATATCCCTGAGTCTCCTTTCCTCATCTATAACATAACAGTATTTACTTCACAAGGTAGCTGTAAAACTGTAACAAAGACCCTCAAGTATTAGCTTAACATCTACTGTCTTGATACTATTCAATATTAACAGCCATGGATCTACCACTTTCAAGTGAAGCCACCTCAAAATGTCATCTTCTCAATGATCCTTCATTTAAGGATGAAGCTTAATCCTTTTAAAATCATTTAATAGAGGCTGGGGGTGTAGCTGTGGGGTTCAACACTTGCCCACCATTCCTGAGGCCCTGGATTCCACCATCAGGACAATCATTCAATAATTAATTCAACAATTACGGACCAACTTCGGGTCCCAACTCCTTTCCCTGCTCTATATTTCCTTTTATAACTGATATCTTTGACATGCTACGTAATTGACACAGCCCTCTTACTATGGACCGCCTCCCCTTGGGTAGGGATTCTCCTTTTGAGCACCGTGCCAACCGCCTACAGCTGCGCAAGGCACCCACGAGAACTCGGAACTCGGTAAGAACCTGCCCAGCATCAGCTATGGAGGCACCCGGCCTGGAAGGCGGGAGTCCGGGCGCAGACCCCCTTCCCTCGGGCCTCACCGCGGGCTGCAGGTGATGGAGCTTCTCGACAGCGGCCAGCGAAGCCACGAAGACAGCGGGCTGGCAGTGCACCGTGCGGTCCAGGTCCTCCTGCGGCCCCTGCAGGCTCAGCTCCAGCAGGTCGTAGCCCAGCACGCGCTGCGCGGCGTCGTAGAGCTCGCGGACGCGCGGGTAGCCGAGCAGACCGCGGCCCATGCCCACCACTTGGCTGCCCTGGCCCGGGAAGAGCAGCACCGAGCACTGGCCGGGCGCCCGTCGCGCCGCCGCCGCCCAGGGCTGCTCCTCCGCTGTCGTCGCGCCTCGTAGCAGCTCTGCCACGTCCACCGCGCTCGGCGGAGGTACCGGGAAGTTAGAGACGCCGCGACGGCAGCAGACACTCCAGCCCCAGGCCCAAGCGGCCCGCGCGACCCGGGCGCGCATGGTGACACACCGGCTCAGCGCCTGTTACCGTGGCGACTGAGGCCCCACTGCAGCTGCGCAGCGCCGCGTGGTCCTTCGCGCATTTCCTGCCGTGCTCACCCTGGCACCCGGGGGCGGAAGAGAAAGGTTCCGCAGTTACCGTTTCCGCCGCCGCTGGGGACTGTGCGGCTGGAAGACCGGACCCTAACCCGTGTGTTTCCTTAAACCTCTACAGCCAAGAATAGTTCATAGCACCACACCACAGCGAACCCTCAACACATATTTATGGACTAAATAATGCAACGCAATGTAATATTTCCTTCTACCTAGAATGTGAAGAGCACTTGAAAGTCTTCCACATTTTTTCTTGCACATGATTCTGCCAAGGCTAAGCAAGATACCAGCTCTCTTTTATGTTTCCTGCAAACCACACAGGATTCCCAGCACGTAATATGCACTCGTTAAATCTGCTGTTCAACAAAGCCCTGGATATTTTTCAGCCTTATTTAATTCCTCACAGCAAGCAGCCGATGCCTAGGTGCAATTATTGTCCTCAGTTTACAGATGAGTAGACAAAGGCTCAAAGGTTGAGTGACAGGTGGTTCTGACAGGAGGACTGAAGTTGGGGTTATCCAGCTCTGAGAGCTGCTGTGAGGCCAGGTCAGAGAGAGAGAGTCCAATTCTGACCTTACCTCTCTCCACCCTTCCCCTCCGCTCTGCACTCGTTTCCTGACATCCTCCTGTAGAGAACCTAGGGCGCCCAGGCACCACTTCATGGTGAGAAGTTCTAGGTAGAATTGTGTCTTAGTTTAGTTCACTCCAGCTGCTGTGGAAGAATGGATAGGCTAGGGAAGGGGCCCAAATAACAGAAACTTCTCACAATTCTGAAGGCTGGGAAGTCCAAGATCAAGGTCCTTGCAGATCCTATGTCTGGTGAGATGGCTGTCTTCTCATATCTTCATTCCATTATGGAGAGCAGAAACCGAGAACTCCCATGTCTCTTCTTAAATAAGGGTATTGATCCCTTTGATCCCTTTCACGAGGCCTCCACCCCTACCTCTAACTATCCTGGCCCTGGGGGACTGGGGTTCAACAGATGATGTTTGGACACACATCACTCAGTCCACAGAAAACCACATCAGCAAATCTACTTCACTGAGTTTGTCTGAAGAATCAAATAAGCAAAGACCTAATACTCAGGATGTCCACGGAAGCCTTGTTTGTTTGTTTTTAAATATTTATTTTTTTAGTTGTATTTGGACACATACCTTTGTTTTATTTTATTTATTTTTATGTGGTGCTGAGGATTGAACCCAGGGCTTTGCACGCGCTAGGTGAGCACTCTACTGCTAAGCCACAACCCCAGCCCTATTTATTTATTTTTAAGTTACTGGGGATTGAACACAGAGGTGCTTTATAGCTGAGTACATGCTTAGTACTATTTTTTTTTTTGGACAGGGTTTCACTAGGTTGCCAAGGCTGGCCTCAAATTCAGGATCCTCTTGCCTCAGTTCTCCTGAGTCCATGGGACTACAGGCATGTGCAACCATGTTCAGCCAGCCTTGTTTTTGACAAGGAAAAAGTGGAGGTGAACTGCATGTCCAAGTAGGGGGGGTTAATTAAGTGCCATATTGCAAACATATAGAATGCTGTGGTCATAAAAATGTGGAAGAGATCTTCAAGTTGAGACTTGCACTGAGCACACACTGCCTCCAGAAGCCCATAAATCCCATGAAAGGATTGTTTAACCCCCCAAGGACAGGGAGAACAGGAAAAGGGACCCCATCAACAAGATCTCTGAAAGCTGAAAAGCAGATAAACCGGTATTAGCTGACTTGGTGACCTCAGATGGCTAAATCCCTCTTAGCAGTGGGGAAAGCAGAAAACCCACCCTTTGTCTTGCAATAGAGTCCTCAAACGCTTAGGAACTGGTGGCAGCAGCTGCTTCTAGATCTGAGAGTCAAAGAAGGTAAAGCAAAGGGGAATATTTGAATATTCTTGGGAAAAAAAATGGTTAGGTCCTTTGATCCCCTCCCTCTCCCTGGCCACTGGATGAGCCCTTTCCGCTCTGGCAAACATCTGGGCTAGCTTGGAAAAGGTCGAACCAAAGGGGACTGGGCATGCCAGGGACAGCAGTGAAGTGCCCAGTCTGCTGAAACAGTCAACCCTGAATGATGATTGGAGAACCCTGCTCCAGTCTCTCCCCCAGTGAGGACCCAGAAACCTGGAGCCAGACCCTGACTCTCTAGGCCAGGAACTTTAGGACACTGTGGAGTCTGACCAGTCCGAAGCAAAGGCCTAGATATTGGCAATGCAGGGACAAATGGCCCATGATGTTCACCTTATATTGAAGTTAAACTAACAAATATCATCCGAGAGATTATTTTGTTCCTTCCTTTGAATCCAGCCAAAGATACCCAAGCATCTGAAAGCCCTCATAATCTGGGAAAAAAGGCAACCCGTAGAATTTGGAAACTATGAAGACAGAAGGATTGCTTTTAAGAAAACTGTGGCTGATATCTGTAGGTAAGAGGAGACCCTGCATCTGTGAAACAGAAACAGGAAACAACATTTTATTTTTACTTTAATTTTTTAAGTGGCCGATGGACACAATACCTTCATTTTATTTATTTATTTTATGTGGTGCTGAGGATCAAACCCAGTACCTTGAACATGCGAGGCAAGGGCTCTACCACTGAGCCATAACCCCAGCCCCAGGAAATCACGTTAAAAAAAAAAAGAGAATTCAGAGAACAACAACAACAACAACAACAAAAAATATCTTGTGTGTTGAAAATAAGAGAGCAGGCCCAGCGTGGGGGCACACACCTGTAATCCCTCAACTTGGGAGGTTGAAGCAGGAGGATCACAAGTCCCAAGACAGCCTCAGCCACTTAGTAAGACCCTGTCTCAAAATAAAATAAAAAGGGCTGAGCGTGTAGCTCAGAGATAGAGTGCCCCTGAGTTCATCCCCAGTACCACAAATAAAATAAAATAATTAGGAAGCAGAATTGAAGAAACTCCATAAAAGGCCTGAAGAGAAAGTTGAGGATAAAACAAAAAGCAAACCCTGAAAAACAGGCAAGAACAGGAAGTCAGAGGAGCAGCCCAGGAAGGTCAGGACCCTGAGCAACAGGATTCAAAAAGAGAAGTGAGAAAACAGAGGGAAGGAAATTATCCAATTCTGAAAAAACAAAGAAGAGGGGTTTCCAAACTGAAAGGGTCTATTGAATGCTGGCCCAAGGACCGAATCAGACCCCACGAGGGAGGAGCCATGTGAACTTTCCAAACTCTGGGGCCCAAATCTTAAACTTCCAGGAAGAACCAAGTGGGTTACACACAAAGTCTGCAGCAACAGAACACCCCAGCCGGCTCAGCAGCCAGGTGGCCCTAGCACATGGCAAACCCTCAGAGTCCTGGGTGCTCATCTCCCCCACGGGAAGAACATGAGGTTCACAGTGGTCACCTGCACGCACTCTTTATCAAGAACTCCTGGGGGATGGGCTTAACCCAAAGGGGAACCAATAACGAGGATGATCTTGTCCATCTGTTTTCTGTTGCCATAACTGGATACCACAGACTGGGCTGGGTTCTTTATAAAGAAGAGAGGTTTATTCAGCTTGCAAGTCTCCAGGCTGGAAGGCCCAAGGTCAAGGGGCCATATCTGGTGAGGGCCTTCTTGATGGTGGGGACTCTGCAGAGTCCCAGAGTGGTTCAGGGCTTCACGTGGCAAGAGGGGAACATGGAAGAGACAGAGTCAAACTGCCCTTTGTAACAGACCCACCTTTGAGATGACCCATCGACCCTGCAATGTTCATGAATGGATTAGACCATGAAGACAGTAAACCTACTAAACTCCTAAAGGTCCCATCTGGTCTCTCCTGTCTCTCTCTGTCTCCCTCTGCCCCGCCCAGAGCTGAGATGGAGACCTGGGTCCTCATGCATGCTAGACAAGCATTCTACCACTGAGCTCCGTCCCCAGCCGTTTTCATTTTATTTTGAGACAGGATCTCACTACATTTCCCAGGCTGGCCTCTAACTTGTGATCCTCCTGCCTCAGCCTCACAAGAATGGGATTACAGGTGTGTACCACCACACCTTTCTGATTTGTTATATATGACAGCAGAATGCACTATAATTCATGGTACACATCTAGAGCACAACATTTCATGTCTCTGGTTGCACACAAAGTAGAGTCACATCATTCATTTCTTCATACATGTACTTAGGGTAATGATGTCCATCTCATTCCACCATCTTTTCTACCCCCATGTCCCCTGGTCCCACCTCTTCATATCTCACAATGGGGATTAATTTTCATGAATTTTGGTGGGAATGCTCAAACAACAGCAGATATAAAATCCAGGAAATGAGGATCCATTCAGGAGAGAGGGCAAGGACATCCCAGAGGTCTGGCGCAGGGAGACCCCCAAGGTGACGTGTGTTCTGGGCATGTCAGGCACCTGGGAACAGCATGATTCAGGGATGTGTCCAGAGCTGTCACTATCAAGGTCCCTGCTGCTGTGCTGCCCATTGAGCAGCAGGATGAGAGGTAAAGGGGCACACCTTGGTAATCCCAGAGACTGGGGTCACTGAGGCAGGAAGATCGCGAGTTCAAGGCCAGCCTCAGCAAGTTAGCAAGGCCCTAAGCAACTCAGACCC